GCCTGCTGGACGGAGGCTGCAAGGCACCCAGAGAGCCCTGTACACGCCCCTGGAAATGAGTGGGGCTGGGAGCCGCCAGGGAACCGAGTCTACACAGCCAGCTCCTGGGCTGCCCCCAAAATCCAGGCTGCAAAAATGCTTTATCGTGGAAAAGAAGAAAATGAAGAGAAACTGCTTTTCCGGGGGTGGGGGCGGGATGGTGATGGCTGCAGCCTCCAGAAGTGTTGCTGCAGGGGGCGTAGTACGTTCCGACCAAGGCCGGGTCCGTTTTTTCACGGTAAGCGTTGTCGCTCTACACATCTTTGCCGCAAACATCTTTGTCGTAAACATTTTTACTGTGTAACTAACCAGCCGTAAGGCAATTTTGCCGTAAAAAAAGATAAAATCACGACAGAGAAACGAACATAAAATTTAAAAGGGTTTCTTCGCATATATCGGAACCGTCTGCAGCTGCGTGGCAATACCCCGCGGGGAACTGCGCTTACTTTGTGGATCCTGCCTAAGCACTTGTCTTCGTTCTGTGGGAAATAAGGTTTCAACTCTGGGCCCTCCGAGAGGGCCCTGGCGTCTCTTTCTCCTCCCAGTTCATGTGTTTTGAAATAAGAAACCAATTCTTGGGGCAAATCATCATCATCTAGAAGAAATGCTAAAAATTTTAAGACCCCCACCACTGTATGCGGGCTAGCTAAGATTTATAGATACTACAAAAATGGGAGTAACTGCAAAAACTTGTCAATGGAGAAATGAGACCAAATCGACAACTAGCTTAAATGCATTAAGTCTGCCGAGGGCGATTGATTGATTCGTCAATGGAGAAACCAAAGCAAACAAACAAAAAAGAGTCAAAAATCGAACTGTCAATTTTAGTTAGCTTATCTTTTTTTTTTAAATAGTATTTGATTGATTTGTTAGTAAAGAAATGAAACCAAACCAGAAAGAAAAAAAAATTGTCAACCAGTTATTTATCTTTTTTTTAATGGCAAAATTGCCTTCAGTCAATTCGTTACATGGGAAAATGTTTGCAGCAAAAATGCTTGCAGCAAAGGCGTTGCTGAGAAAGTACCTAGACTGAAAAGCACCAAGCACATCCACAGGGACAAGGCAAACAGCGGCCACAGCCTCAGGGCAGGAGGCCAGAAATGTTTCTCAACCGCAGAAGCGAAACAAATGTTTGCAATCACTCAGCAGCCGGAGGTGGGACTGTGTCCCGTTGCTCCAAAGTGGCTGCCCTAATTGCCGTCCCTGGAACGCTAGTGTGTGTGTGTCCCTTTAAGGCGAATGTCCAATGGGCTGCAGCTTGGGATTCCTTTGTGACCAATTCCCTGTGCTTTCTAGAATTTAGGAACCTGAACAGACACGGTGGCGGGAGAGATAGCCTTATTTCAGACCAGGGATTACAGGGGAAGTTTGGTTGGACTCTGAGAGGCTGGAAACAGAGGTTTTCTGGTGGTCGCTTGCTTGGAGATCCTGCCGGAGTATGTGCCATGCAACCCTGAGGGGCTAACGAGGGACGGCCACAGCATTGCCTTGTGTGGGAAACGTAATGGGGGTGGCAAAAGGAATGGGACACGCTCCACAGCAGCCACACCTCAAAGGAAATATTTTGGAAGAGGTAGTGAGAGGATTGTTTAGAAAATACACATCAGTCCTCTAACTCAAATTTGATAAGTGACTTCTTTCAAGACTTTCAAAAATGCGTACATACTACATATTACATGAGTGGCCGGAATTTCCATGTTACACATCACTTTAAAGCCATTTGTTCATTTAACAGCTTTTATTAAACATCTACTATGTTCTGGGCCCTCTTCTGGGCACTGAGGATATAATGTGGGCAGAACAGACAAGAACTCCTGGCCTCGTGGGGGTGGGAGGGAGAACGGCACATAGTAAACACCAGAATAATGATAATGTATAGTATGTCAGGTGGTGAGAAGTGCCATGGAGACAGCGACAATAAAGAGGAGGGATGGGCAGTAGGGGATGGTACCAGGAAGGAGCTCACTTGGCGCGGAGTGGGGGCGGGGGGCGGCATATTCTAAACCTAAAGGAGACTGGGGAGATGAGGGGAAAGCAGCAAAGCGGGTGGAGGAGGAACCCACAGGGAAAGGTCGAATCATCCTGAGATGATGGTCAAGCCCCACCACGAGGACCGGTCGTTCACTGTGATCCTGATAAAAAGCGTTCGAAGGAGTCGTGGGGATTCCAGAGAGAACGGGAGGAGAGGACTTCGAGATCATGAATATAAACGATTCTTTTGAAGAAGTGGAGTGGAAGCTGGAAGGTGATTCAGGTACAAGGGTTTTTTGTTTCGTTTTGTTTTTGGTGTTTGGTAAGACGGGAGAAATGGCAGCGTCTTTGTTTGCTGATGGGAATGATGGAGCAGAGAGGGAAAGGAGGTTGGTGTAGGAGAGAGAAGGGAGAATTTCTGCTAGAAGCACAGACAGTCCTTTCCTAACAGCTGCAGGAAAGTCAGAGTGTCTGAGCGCAGTTGCAGGAGGTGGGTGGCTGCCGTGAGTCAGGTGGGGGCTGGAATCTTTCCGGTGGCTTCCATGGTCCCAGGGAATCTGGAAGCAAGGCCATCGGCTGAGAGTGCAGTGTGGAAGGCGTTGGATGTTTGAGGGGCAGGGAAGATATGACATGATCATCTAGAAGATTACAGGGCAGCATCAAGGGCTCGGTTGAGATCAGAGGCCTTTCTCTGGCTCAGTGGTCAGTACTGGTTCACAATGAGAGGTACGGCTGCACCTCCCCGGCCTCGTCAAATACCACTCTGGTTTTCTAGCAAACCTTTGCTCTTTGGGCTAGTCCCCGACTCAGGCAAGATTAGATTTCTATCTAACCCTTGTGGTCAATTCTTGAGACGAGACTCAATCTCAGTTTCTCATTTCCTCTTATGTGGGGAGTTTCCCCTTCTCTCCCACGGACTTCTCTGTTTGGGGTGAGCACAGCGTAAGGAAAGAGAGTCCACATGCCTGATTACGGCTCAGAGCTGTTCGGGATCCTGGGTTAGGAGGGAAGGTAGGCTGAGAGATAATGGAGAAGCGCTTTGCAGTAGCAGCTCTTGAAGAGGGATGGCCAACAGAGCCCCCAGTGGAATTCTTGGAAACCCTATGATTATAATTATAGATGATTTTAGTTTACGAACTTAAAATAGACGAGATGTGCACATGGTAAAAAAATTCAAAAGAGAATGCAGTGAAATGCAAATCTCCTTCTCGCCCCTGGCCTTCCGCGGTATGGTTCCCTCTCCAGGGCAACCCTTTTTTTGAGGGCATCTTTGGTGTGTATGGATAGTTTTAGTGATTATTGAAGAAGTAAGGGGGATGTATGTGGGTAGGTCCATCGCAGCAGGCAGGAAATACTTACTCAGGAAACTGGATGTCTATAAAATTCTTGGGCACGTATCCTTCTTGGCTCCCAAGCTCTGCCTTGAACCACTCCTCTTGGTTACTTAAGATCTACATGGAAAAGATGGAGGACAAAGACACTGTAAGGACTCTAGGAAGCAGAAGATGGGGCTACTGGGCGAAGAATGCCCCTTTGGATCCAGAGGAAAACAGCAACCGCGCAGCTGCTTTAGTGGGGGAGCTGCAGGGTCATCTTTGGAGTTTAGCTGCTCTTGACCCCACACTATTTCTGCACAAGAATCCCCCACGCATGTGACCCCCACCACGGTGTGGCCTCCCCGCCTCGGCACTCAGGCGCTTGCCGGAACCCCTTTCTCTAATTTGGAAATTCATATGTCCCAGACCCCAGTACCTTAAGTTCATCATCTGAGCCAGGAAGGCCAGAGTGACTACTCCATGGTCCAAGTAATCATGAAACTTTAAAAATTTTAACTTGTTCTAATTTTTTTTTTTTTTTAAACAAGCAGATTAAAACTTAAATGTCCACGTGGGGCCAGCTTTGAAAATAGTAACTCTTTAGGTTCACACTCCATATGTTTCACGAACAATTTGGACATAACTCAAGACATCTGGAATGTTTTTTCTAAACTTGCTTTTAGAGCCAAGCCACAGGCACAACCAGAAGTTCTGTCTCATTACTGTTATCCACCTTGACCATGATCTCAAACGTTATCACTTACCTTGATTACTCATGTGACCTACCAGACTTGGCTCTACGTGGCTTCTCGTTATTTCAGAAAACATTCCACCATTAAAAGACAAATATTTGCCCACACCCCGCCCTGAGCATGTTTCTCAAGTAGGTGACATAGACCCAAACAATAATTCAAAATGGAGATGGCAGAGCAGAAAGATGGAAAGAACCTTGATGACGTCACTGAGCCACCGAATGAGACACCCCAGAGCCCACCTACTTTGGGGCTTTGGATGAGAAATAATAAAGTTTTGTTATTGTTGAAACCATTTTTTGTTACCATTTTTTTTTTTCTGTGTGTGTGTAGCTAAAAATGTCTTAACTGATAGAACTGCTATGATGAAGGGGAAAGCAGAGGATAGGTAGGAAGGACTACCTGGAGGAGAGGCCCTCTGGGTTGCCCAGGCAACGACAGGGGTTACCCAGGAGAAGTCCGATGGTGATGAGAAAGTGCAGTGCATTCTGGGAGCAAAATGCCTCAGTCTTGAGGGAGTTGAGATTGTTGTGTCAGGAGTAGAGAGAGAGGAAACCAGAGGCTCCAAGCTTCGCGGCCCGCGTTGAAAAGTTTGGATTTTCATCTTGAAATTTATGGGGAGCCATTAAAAGGCTACCCATTAAAGCAGGGAAATAACACTGTAAGAATTGGAGTCAGGAGAGAGGGCTGCGTCAGAGTGTGACGATGGATTAGAGGGGCAGAGTCGGGGGAGAAACGTCAGGAAGATGAGTGCAGGCATCCAGGTTAGAGATGAGGGGATCTGGGTTAAGAAGAGGTCAGGACATGCTTTACAGGAATCGGGCAGCAAAATGGGCAGGATTTCACGACGGTGCGTGGAGCTAAGGGAGACGGGGAATTGTGGGCTGGCTCCGGGTTTCTGGCTTGGGAGACTGAGTGGGTGGTGATGCCTTTACTAAAATAGAAAATACAGGAGGAGAAGCGGGTCTGAGGAAAAACTCATGGACCTCAGATTGCGTGCGAGCGAGTCCAAGCAGCCCCTGGGACCATCTGAGAAGAAAAGCTCCGTTGAGCAGTTGGAGATGTGTGTGTGGACTCAGCAGAGAGGCTGGGATTTCACAGTCGTCTGAAAGTGGATGGAATAAAAGCCATGGGTCTCCTGAGTTTCCCTCTCCCAGAGATGGGGACAGAATGAAATAGAGCTAAGTAATCGAGAAGCATCGATGACCTATTTTTAATATCCCTCCTAAGGTAGAAGGAAGAGGACAGCATGTTGAATTTGGAAGGCGAAGACCCGGTTTCTGGCTTGGCCCTGTCACTAGCTATAAGACCTTCGACAAGTCAATGAACCATCTGAAAAATGGGGACCAAAACAACGGGCTAATGCCTCACAGAGCTGATATGAGGATCGAATGAGTCCTTGGACCTGGAAGTCCTTCAGAAAGTGTCTGCTGTTTTTCAAAAATATAATTCTGTAAAATGCGATATTCTTATGAAGGAGGGCGCCAGCTCTGAAGGACACGGAGGGGTTTTATAAGTTCTTTAAAGTGTTCTATGTGTATGTTTTCAATTTCATCATCTGTTCTGAAGAAATAAAAGTGTGTCCCATATTTGAGCTCTAGGATTGCCGAGAAAAGAAGACTTTATAGTTTCTAACATCAAATGTGACTGTTGGTATCACTAAGGACGTGTGGGTACGTGTATGCTGAGGGGGGTGGAAGGGGAGAGCAGAAAATCTAGGTCAGAAGAACTAGAAACTCGGCACTAGTGCCTGGTAGTCACAGAAAGAACACGGACGTTTCGCTCCGTGCCATCTCCCCCAGATTCATGGCCTCGGAATTCCTTTCTCCGGTACATGGGAATTCGGAGTTTGGCCCGAGTGGCAAATGTCAAAAAGGAGGTGTAAGCAAGGATGGGGTAACAGAGGCCATTTGGAAATTGGCTCCTCACAGTAAGAACCACACTCTGCCCTTAATTCTCTGACCTGAAACCAGCTGTAATTTTAGTAATCGTGATTCAAACCCATCTACCTCCTCCAGCAACTGAAAGATTATCTCAGAATGCCGGCCATTTCTCCTCACCACCCGGTGCTTGCTCGGTCTGCCTGAGACTGTGTTCCCAGAGAGGTGAATTTACAGGCTATTTTTGGTGGATAGAAGACATGGTTTTAAAAAATCCATTTTCTGCAAAGGAGAGTATTTGGGGGGAGGAGGCTTCCTCCTGCCGTCGTTGGCGCAGGGCCCCAGACTTCCTGTGCTTTTCATCTCTCCATCTCCTCGGTTCTTCTATCTCTTGTACCCATCACGTTAACCTGAGCAAGGAGTTCAGCCCAAGCACACGAGGTCTGACACTTAACTTTACTGTATCTTAATTCTTATAATGCTGCCTACGAGAATACATTTCTGGGCTGAGACTTAAGTTAGATGTAGGAAGAGGACAAAACCTACAGTTGGAAGAACTTTAAAATTGGATGGAATTCTAGCTCTCAGAGGCACAGCAGAAATCTGAAGCATTGAAGAATGACGTAGGATGAACCCTTAGTGCTTTTAGGTGGTTGTTTTAGTAGAAAGAAATGAGGTCGAGTTAGATGCATTGCAGAGGCAAGTAGAAACTGGACTGGGTCAAGAGACATTTTCAAACGACTGACAGATTCGACTGGTGCTGTGTGCAGTTGCAGGTCCGGAGGTTGGTGACACGACCATGGAACACCTGACTCCTGACTATTCAAACGTTTCTCTCACAGAAGAAGCAATCAAGTCACTTGGCAGGACTTCCCCATCCGCCATCTTGTTCCCCATTCTGTGATTGGCATCTCACGAGCACCTGCTCTTTGTACTTAGGTGCTGGGAAAACAGAGGTGAATAAGCTGGGGTCTTCACGCTGGGGAACTCACGGTCTGGGGGTGGGGCGGGTTGGTGGTGAGCTGGGCAGACATTTTTTTATACCTTTTAGTGAAGAAGTCTATTTAGTCTTTTAGCACTAAAGGCCAAACACAAAAGAGCATCCCGGTGTGAGTTGCTGGCTCACTCAAGAGCTGGCTTTGAAAACGATTATGAGGCTCCCGGGGTGTGTTACCCAGCTGTGGGCGGGGTGGGAGGGACAGATGTTGCAGTCGTAGTCACACGTAGAGATCCACGGGCAGAGCCACTAAGCACATGACGCAGACGTTCTGTGAGGCTTGGCCAGGAAGCCCTTCCGCTTTTCTCTGTCCTGCTACAGCTACAGTGGGCACAATTTGAAAAAAAGGAGGGGTTCGGCCTGCTGTTGGAATTCTAAGCGAGCATGCAGAAACTCAATTTGACAATTCAGGAAATACACACAGAGCACCTGTTTGGGGCTGTGGCTCGTGTTCGATGCAAAGACGACTCCAGTGTGGCTCTGCTCTGGGGAGCTCACAGACCAGAGGAGGAATCGAATATGCATTCGCTCACCACTTATTAGGGAGTGTCGCCTTTCTGCTGTTCTAGACACAGAGGCAGAGCCGGTCCCCACCCTTACAGAGCTTTGGCGCGTGGCCAACACGAAAATGACAATCAGGATCCCACAGGGCAAGGGCAGCAACGAGGGATATACAGGGCGCATGAGAGCACAGAGCCTCGGCCGGCCGGTCAGTAGCTGTCGCATGAGGCGGATTCATAAGCACCTCAAATGAAGGGTGTGTGGAGCGCTGTGGTAGAGCTGAAGAGGGAGTGGTTCCTTCTCCCGAGCAGTACGGAGGGGGAGGATAAGCGAGGATTCTGAGAGAGGTAGTCAGATATGAGTGTGCAGGGGAAGGGCATTTGGAATATGGGAGAAAGCCTGAGGGAGGATGGTGTATTGCAGTGTGTGTGACCTGGGGGCATGAGCACGTAAAGATGTGTGTGTGTGCGTGTGTGTGCGTGTGCGTGTGTGTGCGTGCGCGCGCGTGTGTTTGTATTTCTATTCAACAAATAGCAAACGAATTTTAAATAATACAGAATAATAGAGCCTTGCTACAACCTAACTTTTAATATCATGAAATTTTTAAGATTTTGGTCTTCATCTGAAGGGCTGTAATAGTCAGAATTACTTAGATTGTGTTATTGCCCCTGAGTGTCTCTTGTATCATTAGCTCCAAAGAAACGTCTTAGCTTACGGTATAGGGAATGCCTAAGTCCCAAACTGGAGAATATTGAATATTTTCTGTGTGTTCTTCTTGTTCTCTTTTGTTGGCATCTTTCTTAATCGGAAGCAATCAATATAAGCAAAAGAACCTCAGTGTTATTGAGTGTAGTTGTCAGTTTTGAACTGAATTTCTAGAGGAGATACTAAAAGTGTGCGTAGCTGATAAATCGTACGCAGTAAGCGACGTGAATGAACACACACAGTGAGCGTAGGCTCATATCAGCAGCCTCTTAGCCATTGCTGGGGATGGCGGGCAGAAGCGCTTACCCGTCAGTGTCCCCAGTTGTAAAGTGAAAGGCTTGGACTAGGCTTACTCATTTTTCAGAATGCTGGTGTGCTAGATGCTAGTGCCAGAAACGCAAAGGTGAGCAAGACGAGGGGACGTGCCTGTCTTCTGGTGACTGGGGAGACCTGGGTGAATTTCAAGTTCTTTGCCCTCTAAGATCTCAGACGCACGGCGTGATGGTATAGGTTAAGTGAGATGGATAATAAAACAGTATTCCATATTCGCTTTTTTACTCAGAAGCACAGTTTACTGATGTTTGTATAGTTAAAATTTTCATTGGAATACAGTTTTAATGCTTGAATCGGCGTGTGCGTGTGCGTGTGTTCAGGCGCGTGCGCATGATGAGGCTGGGTACCGGGTTGGAGACAGACGGCTTAGATTTCAATCAATTGGCAATGGGGACCCACTGAATGCTCTCGAGTCAGGAAGTGATATGATCTGATTTGTCTTCTGGAAAGATCCCTCTGGGACTGGTATGTAGAATGATTGAAGGAGGAAGAGACAGGAGGTGATGAGGTCAGTCAAGGGGCTCTGGCAATAGTCTGAACAGTGAGAGGCAGCAGGGATGAGTAATACTGGTAATAGGGTGGCCATTTATTGGGCTTCTGCTTTGGGATGGGGCCATTGCCTCTAATCTGTTCCAGAACCCTGCCTGATAGATATGGCCTCCTCGTACAGATAAAGACACTGAATGTCAGAGGGGGCAAGTGACTGGCCGAGCCCACACAGCTGGTAAGCTGGGATTCAAACTCATTTTTATCTGGTTCCAAAATCCATGCTCCTTTTTAGTGTGTCGGGCTCCTGTCTAGTGACAGAGGGGATTGCTCGAGAGATATCATGAAAGGAAAATGTTCGGAGCAGAGGACCGTGTTCAGGAGTCAGACAGAAGTCCAGTCAGACCCAGGGGAGGGACTGTGTCACAGTTAGCAGTGCTCCCTGAACAGCGTCACATTCTACAGGCATTTTAGCAGGGTCCACATAGTCCATGTTAAGGGGCTCACTGGTGGACTGTAGAGAAGCGTTGGGGGTAAAAGCTGGATGCCAGAGGGTTCCCACAGAACAACTGGGAAGAAGGCAGTGGAGGTGCCCAGCGTAGAGAATCTGTTCCAATGTTGGCAGCAAAAGGGAGGAAAGAAATTGGGAGCTGGATCGCGAAGCAGAGTTGAGAAAGGTTTTTTTTGTTTTTGTTTCTGCTTTTGTTTTTGCTTTGACTTTTCTGGGGAATAGAGAAAACTTAAGCAAGATACTAGGTTCTGTTTGCAAAGAGAGATGAGGAATGAAAGTTGCCCCGCCCCCCCGGGCCTCTTTGGTGCAAGGACACTCTAGAGTCACATGGTCACAATACTCCCTAGAGACGAAAGGGACTGCTCCCTGTGTGGCAGATCCCTCTGTTACCTTGGTAAGATCCCAGAGAAATGAAGGTCACCTTTCCTGGGTCAGCAGCCCAAAAGGACATTTTGACCTTGAGAAACTCCAACATCGAAGACACGCTTTTTGCAATCACATTACTAGATCTTGCAAGGTGAGAGCGGTTAGAAGGGTAAACGCTGGGAGCGCTCGAGCTCTAAGCCCAGTTATCCTACCTGCTTTGTGCTCCACGGACACCTTCTGAGTCACGCCCTCACATCCTGACGGGGTTCTTTCTTAGTAGTGAGACAATGGTGGCCTCATGCTGCTGGGCAGTCTGAGAAGGCCCACGTGGGCTGTGAGGGTCAGGGACCAGGATGTCCGAGGGTGCTCTGAGGCCAGGTGGGGGGGACATTAGCATCACAGACTCCCCAGTGGCCTCTGGAAGGGCTTGTACTCTTTTGCACAAAATAAGGATTCAGAGGTGGAGTCTGAAAGTGCGGGGCATGAAATTTGGGAGAGGGCCAAGGCTTCTTCAGCTCAGTTAAGTAGCCACTACAACTCAAGTGCGGGTGGAAGACAAGTTTTAAGAAGCCTCCGAGTGGGGGGCGTGCACGGCCTGTTTGAGCCATGTCTCCTTCAGCTGCCTTTCCCAGGTTGTCTCCAACCTCCTGCAGGTTCCAGCCAAGCTGGCTCTCACAGTGCTCCCAGAATCCCACACGCGCTTGCTCATTTCTGACCTTTAGCTAAAAGCCCGACTCACCTTCATTGCATCCCTGACAACCGATGCTGCCACGCAGTCCTACAAACCCGTCTTTCAAGGTAGGGTGGCTTGTTCCCTCACCTGTGCTCCCCTGAGCTCTAAGATAAAGAGGTCTGTAACCACCTTTTGGATGAATTTGTTTCCTCCTTCAGAGATGCTGAGCATCTCAGAACAAAGATGGTGGCTTACGCCGGCTGAATTCCCATGACCTGGCCTGGTAGCTGGCATACAGGTGCTCATAAGGAACCCTTTTGACAGAGGTGACCTTCTTTTTTTTTTTTTTTATTTTTTTTTTAAAAAAGAACTGTATTTAGTTCTTAAGAAACAAAGGCACGGATTGTTAGATTAGCTCGGTGGCCCCATCGGAGTGACCCAAGCTCCCCGTGGCGCTCCTAGGCCCCACGTCACCTACCTTCAGAACGTCTCCAGTGTGAAAACTCAGTTCGTCCTCACCCGAGGCGGTGAAATCAAACTTGGCGATGGCTTCCATGTTGGAGCGCGAAGCTGGAAGAGAAATAACGTGGTCATTGTGTCTTTCTGCCAGAAGAGCCGCAGAGCAGATGGTGCAGAGTAGCAGTCCTAGCGGTTGGTAGGCGAGGGGTCGGATGTCTCCAAGCTGCAGAGGGAGGCGCGCAGGCGCACAGTGAGCGCTTTTGTTTTCGAAAAGAGCTGCTGGAGCCTTTAGGATCCGCTTCCTGGCATCGTTCCTGGATCCCCAGATGCCACGAGTCGGAAATGAAAGCCGGCGATACCTTACTCTCTCCTTTCATCTCCCTTTGCCTGTCCTAGCCTGTCACCATTTCTGGGGCTTCTCCGTTTCAGGTTGGTGAGGATGGAAGACTTGCTATCATCTCTAACTTGAGGCCTGAGGGGCTGGAAAGACTGTTCTGTAAACACCATCCGAGGCTGTCCCTTGGCAGCTATATTTAACCAGGCAGCGTTAATTAGACAGATGCCATTGTGACTTTTACATCTGAATCATTTAAGAGAATTAGACATCGTTGGCCAGTGGGGAACTTCCGTCCTTCTGCATGGTTTGAGAGTAGAAAGCATCCTGGTTTTTTGAGTCGGGATATTCAATTAGTCGGATTCCTTGTTTTAATATTATAGTGTAAGCCAAGTACATTCTGAAAACTTTTCATTTTAATATGTCTGCATCGAGTTAAAATATCGACCTTTCCTAGTAATAGATCAGACCTGTGTAAAAATGAATGTCAGCCTTCAAATAAAATATAGTTTTGTTTTGTTGTTTAAGGAGACAGTGCAGATGTAATAGAAATAGAGCCGAGCCCTGGTTTTGTTGGTGAATAGCTGTATGATCTTGTGCAAGTAACTAAAACTCTCAGAGTCTCAGTTTCCTCATCTGTAAAATGGGGGGTCGTAATATTCAACTAATAAGGATGTGGGATTAAATTCAATAATAGATGCTAGATGTTATACCAAATAAAACTAAGTAGTATCACTATCTTAAAATAATTTGGTGAAATGAATTTATCCTCAGCGAAGGTAGCCTGGCCAAAAGCATCCTGGATTTCTCTTCTGATTTCTCCCATTTGTAAACTTTTCTCATTGAAATTTGATGTTTATTCTTCATGATCCTCAAAACCTTTGATCCTCTGCTAAGACGGCCTACTGTCAGGACATAGTCTCGAAAGCTGTTTTGCATTTACTTTTTGTAAAATTTGCCTATGTCTGAAACCCCCAAACCTAACCGACTTTCAGTGACCAGTAAAGTGGCACTGTAACTGTCCTCTCAGTGGGAATTTCTGCCCAGGTGACAAGATTTGGGTAAGTAAGGAAGGTGGCTGCCAGTGGGAGAATGCATCAGGCAGAAATCAGGGGACTAAAGCTGATTGCAACAGTGGTGATAGCAAATGGCTTGTTTCTTTGACTTTCAACATTTGCTTCATCTTCCAAAGGCAATTTGTAGAAATGAATATTACCAACCCCAAGGATAGATATTAAGCAAAAAATATTTCAGGAGCCAAAGTAAAATGTCTTTGCTTACTGTCCGAGCTTTATCGCCAGCTAAAGCTTATTTCCAAACAAAACAAACAAACAAATATATATATATATATACACTTTTTGTACACTCTTTTCAAGATCTGTCTATCTAAGGCAAATTAAAATTTATGTGACTTAGGATGACCCACTCAACAGGAAGGCGTATTCTGCCCTCCTTAGTGAATGTTAAATGTCTTTGCTGATTTGATTCACTCCATTACTTTAACATGCAAAGCTTTCCCTAATTAAGACCTTGCCTCTAGTTTGCAACACATTAAGATGTGGTTTCTGTGGGTCACCGTCCTGGTATCAAAAGTAGACACTGGTCGCCTCAGGAGATCAAGTGTCAGGTGAACGGTCTTAAAAACCAAGATCCCATTTCTATGCAAATTTACCTTAATAAGCATGATGGAGACAAGGGGAGGCAAATGCTAAACGTATTAGAAAGTCACATAAATTAGAGAAAGGGAAAAAAAAACCAAGGCATACTCTCAATATGACCTTGAGCTTGGGAAGGTCTTTCCTACATTACATGTAACTCAGATCGGGCCTGGGAGCTTGGTCCAGGCAGGCTCTAAGTCACTTCAGTGAGAAGGTCGAGGCAGAAGTAAAATTGTTTCTGAGTTGTGGCCCTTTTCTCTGCCTCCCCCCAGGAGGCAGATGGTGCAGCAAAACCAACGACATAGGCACATCGCAGAGCTCCCCAGCTTATAATATTAATCCTGGCTCAAAAAAAAAAAAAAGTACCAATTAAATAAGCTGACTCTTCATGAAATCACTTTGAAAAAATTAGTTTGCATCCTATTTCCATTTGCGAAATGAAATCTGTTCAGATCTGTTCGGTCGGAGGGAGACATTTAGGGTAGAGTGGGATATGCTCTGGTTTTGTTCAAATCACAGGCTTTGCAAATTCTTCCCTTGAACTGACCATTTTCTGCATCCCTGATAGCAGAGAATGGAAAATGTGCCACTCCAAGGGGTCAGACTTCCGTTTGATCATAGAAATGCCCAGAAATATCCCATTCCTGTATATCCATGAGTTTTCATTTTGAAAAGTTTTAAATTACCACCAGGGAAAAAGAAAACTGAACTAACGTAGTTTATCCATTTGTTTTATAATCTGTACCTACTGCTACTGCATCTGGGAAACAAAAAAGTATATATGATGGAGATAAAACCACAGTAGCAACAATGTCGAGATAGAAGAGAAGGGAGAGAGAGAGAGGGAGAGGGAGAGCGAGCAGCCGCCTCAAGAATTCAAGAACGCAGTGGAGCTTTCTTGATGCTGTTTGCAGTAACAGTGCTTTGACCTCAGGGGAGGGGATGTAGGCAGAGCCGCCTCTTCAGAGAATCTCCCAGACGAATTATATGTGCTTTTCCTGCCAGTAATCAGCTTTAGAAATGGCTGAAATGCTACCTTCGGTAGAGTGTGGGTGAGAAGTGACAGTATCCACCTCCAGCACCTTCCCCGTACCCAATCCAGCGCTGCCGACAATGCCATTTGTCCAGGAATCCCACCTCGGAATGGTGCAGGGCTCCAGCCCCTACTGCCACCTCTGCTTCTCACCAGCTCTCTGCATCCGTCTCACCTCCCCCATTATGAATTGCACATAAGATCCATCAACAGCCCTGCAACACAGATCTGCCTTCTCCACCGGGCAACACCACCCAGGACTTCCCCAGGCACGGTTTTCTCTGCCTTTGCATTTCCATGTAAGCTTCTTTTACCACCGAAAAACCTGAAAAATATTCAGGCTACCTACCAGGAATGCTTATTTACTTCTAAAATATAGTCACCACAGAGGATGAAAACAAAAGGTACGAGACAAGCCTTTAAAACATCCTTTATTTGAAAGCCAGATTAAGTGGATGTGTTCTGAAACACGTAGTCACCATCAAAATGGTACCAGGCAAGAAACGTCTTGAAAGATTTCAGCTCCTCCTAAGTTGGCTATGAATAGCTAAGCTTTCTGTTTTATACATCTCGTAAAAAGAGCAATTGCATAACACCACAAAGCTGTTTGAAGATTCAGGCTCAGGACCCATCGAAAGAGGGAGCTGGGTCCTAAATTGAATCAGTGACACCACTTCCTCTTTTTTCTGGGGAGAGCTCTAGTTTGAAGATTATATGACCTGCCCAAGGTTATGTTGTAATTCAGTTAAGATAATGCCTTAGGGAATGAAAAGAAAGAAAAACACTGTTCTTGATAAGTACGGTTGACTCGAACAACATGGGGGTTTAGGGGTGCCGGTCCCACACACAGTGAAAATCCATGTATAACTCTTGACTCCCCTAAAACTTAACTGTCCCTCAGTATCCATGGGAGATTTGCTCCAGGACCCCTAGCAGACACCAAAATATGAAGATGCTCAAGTCCTCTATATAAAATGGTGTAGATCAATGCATACAATAAGCCCTCTGCATCCGTGGGTCCCCGACCTCAGATCAAAAACAGTACAGGTATTTATTGAGAAAAATCTGTGGACCCTCCTGGTTTAAACCCACGTAGTTCAAGGGTCAACTGGATTGCTGGAAGTGTATTTATCAGGACATTAGCAACAAGCATAATTTTTATGAATTTATCTTGCATGTGAAATGAAGTGGTAGAATGGTGAGGAGTTTACATTTTAGGATTTTGGCTGCAGCTAGCAAGGGGAGCTTGGCTAAAAATGTAAAGCTATATCAGCCATCAAACTTTCCCTAACGTGGACACTTGGAACCCACTGCCTTTCTATTTGTCGGGCAAAGCCCCTCGTGGAGAGGATGGAGAGGTAGAGGGTTTACTCCTTCTGGAACTGACAGGGTCAGCTCTGTCACTTTTCAGAAGTAGGAAGCCTTACACTGCTAGAAGAAAATGATTACAGCTAAGCCTCGCTGTGCACAATAGCCATGTTCTTGAAAAGTTATCATGAATAGAGTATTTGTAAATGGAATCAGATTAGCATGCATATGGAAGCTCCATTCCATAAAGGAGCCTCATGGTGAATCCTTTTACAAAATGAAAAGGAAAATTTGTTATGCAAATCATTATTTTTTAATTTGTCTCTTTTGAAGCCTGGATTTTCCTGCACTGAGTCTTAAAACAGAGCACACCTGTATAACCCCTGTAGCACCTGGGTTAAATAAGTACTACTTTTCCCTCTTCTTAATTCTCAAAACCCTTTTTAAAAACCTTTTCTATTGATATATAACATTCTACCTTGGTGTATAAACTAGGAGTAGTCAAACGTTTTCTGTAAGGGCCTGAAAGTAAATATTTTTGGCTTTGTGGCCATACAGTCTCTATCACTACTACTCACCTGTGCTGGAGAGGAGAAAGGAATGGGCATAGCTGGGTTCCAATAAAACAGGATTTACGGATGCCGAAATTCGAATTTCGTATATTTGTTACATGCCACAAAATATTCTTCTTCTGATTCCTCCCTACCCCCAAACCATTTTAAAATGTACAAACCATCTCAGCTCATGGTCAAGAACATGTGATGGGTCAAATGTGCCC